CACAGGTGCAGACACCACACCTCTGGCTGTTGTGGCTGTGACAGCAGGTAAGGTTGCCAGAGACAAGGTGCAGAGTAAGAAGGCTAGTAACCAGAGGACAGAACCCTAGAACGCTAAGGAGCAGGCTGAGAGTGAAGGAGGAGTCTGGCAGAGGTGGGAAGGAACACAGCACTGGAGGAGCTCAGGGACTAGGGAGGCAGAAAGCTCATGGCAGGAACGTCACCTGGACACGGCTGGTTCCGGGGGGCCCCCCCAACGGATCCTCCAATCTGCTGCCACATTAATCCCGGGAAAGTGCAGTTGTGACCATGCCATCTGCTTGCGCAGAGCGCCTCAAAAGACTCCCCACTTAGACTGGCTTTAGGGTTCTCTGTGAGCGGATCTTGCAAAACGCTCCGCCCTCATCCTGTAATTGCCCCTCTTAACCTTAAAAAAGATAAACCACCACTTAGTCCACAGGCAAAAAAATTATGGGTTTATTCGGGAATAGCAGCGACTCATAACCCGACGTAAGACAACCACCACAAAAACCGCAAGCAGCTATGCCCAACAAAGGCCAGGAGGCCTTTTTTTGTAGCGGCACGGTGGTGGGCGGGCTCTTTATAAACACAAAGCCTATTGGAGTAAACTGGGAGTTCCAAGTATAGTGGCTTTTCATTGGCTGAGCTGTGACAGCCTCTGATTGGCTGAGCTGTTGTTTGGGGGCGGAGGAAGCTTTATTTTTCACCTGCTGTGTTAGTAAAGTAGTAGCTAAAGCAGTACGGACTTGCGAGGTCCTTCTCTTCCGGTTGGATTTGCAATTGAGGTAGAGCGGAAGGGTGTGAGAGTACCCGCGCCAAACCTCCAGGCTCCGCTCCAGTGAGGATTCCCTTTACTAATTTTCACACTCCCGTACAGAAACCCTGTTCTATCGAAATCAGGTTTTCACTACTGCCCCTTTCTTCTCACCTGTACTTTAATCATGCTGGTCCACCTTCTAGAATGCCTTTCCTGCTTTGACTCTCTTGCCTGCCGGAGAAGTTAGTGAACATGCTCCCTAAGCCTAGCTCATAACTCCATTAATTATAATTAACTCCATTAATTATAAATCACCCAGAGGTTAACAGGCGTACCTTAAACCCTGCGGGGGACAGGCATAGCCAGACACACCAGTCGTCCCTCCGGTCACCGTGGATGCACATCGGCCCCCTGATCGACAATAGCCAGGACACGCAACAGCACACTCTCCTGGACATCTAGAAATGTGTGTGTGAGAGAGAGAGCGAGAGCTCATGCCTTAGAACTTTGAGAACCTGTGTTCAGCTAAAGCCCCCAAACAGTGTCCCCCAGCAGCTCAAAAATCCCGTTGGTTTTTCTCCCGTTGGTCTTCATTGTCTCTCCGGGGAGGAGAAGGCTAGGTGCCATAGGCTGGCCGGTGGGGCTATCTCCCCGAGAAATCAGAGCACTCCTCTAGAGCTCTTGGAGATCTCCCAAGGTGAGACCCAGCATCAGAATTAATAAAAAGCAAGTACGACTGGGTTGCTCTTGGCTCTGACAACAGGCTGGGAATCCTTATCAAACAAACACCAGCCCGGGAGGAGAGGTCACTGTGGATATTCCAGCGCTAACATTCAAACGTTAATAACTTTACCGCGTAGATTAATTTTAAATGTCAGACCGCGTTGCTGTGTAAAGCTAAGGCACTCAGGAAAAACGTACATTCTCAGGCTTCCTGACAGCACCAACACATGCCGTGTTTGATCGCCAGCGGGGTGGGCAGGATCAGAGGAGAAGAGGGTGTTTCTTTAACAGTCGCTGCCCCTGCAATGCAAACAGGACAAATAAACGGCATCTGAGCGTGCCGACCGCCCAGTTTCTCAAGCGGGAAAATGGCCGAACTGACAGTAATGAGATTTCACACAGAACCGCGAGGCAGCGTGAGGGCCGAGACCTCGCCCAGGATGCCGGGTTCCCAGCCCAGACAAATGCGTGCAACTTGGTTAAGAGCCCCTGGAAGATAGCATTTGTAGTAAAGACGGAGGTAATGCATGGCTGCGGGCCCCGCACTGAGGCGGAAGGCAGAGCTGGGTCCGCCGCCGAGGGAAGGTCTGCACTGCCCCGCGAGGAAAATCCAGGGGCAGCCCCAGCCCAGGAAAAGGCTTGAAAGGAAAAGAGAGGGGAGGCAGAGGCTGCAGGAGGAGCACGGAGGAAGGAACAGATGCTGCACACAAAACCCACCCAGGGCTGCCAGGCTTGCAATTAAAAATTCACATATTTTGGACTGAAATTCTCATATTTTAAGAGAACTTGGGCAAAATCCTCCTCCCATCAATATTAGCAATGCAAAACCGGCAGTCAAGACAGACCCAAATTATCATCCATTTTGCAAAAAGGATGAAAATTGTATAGCGCGGAGTCCAAAATTCTTCGGCGAAAACAATCATTAGAGCGCACCTGGCAGCCCTTGGTCCCGCCCCCACCTCTGGGCTCCAGGGGACACAGGACAATGCGCCCACCCTCTCCCTACAGAGCCCCAGGCTGCAGATCTGGGACTGTCACAGCAGCCACCAGTCACCAGGGGCTCTCGGATTCTCTTTCAGTTTGAAAGGGCACCCTTATTTGGATAAATGTGCATACTGAATTCAAGAGGCATTAATACTAGAGCAGGATACAGCAAAAGGGCAAACACAAAGCATACCAGGAATGCCAAACATAAACACTGTCCCAGGCCTGATGCACCTGGATTGGGCTTCCGGTGTTTAAGCCAACAAATGGGGTGGGAAAGAGGGAAAGAGAAGGCCCTGATAGAAAACAGTAGGCTCCCAGAATCCAAAGTCAAGTGAAATCCTCGACCAGCAAGGTCTGGCACGGGGCTGAGCACACATGACAGTCAATAAGTCTCTGACTAAAATCTTTGAGGTTCTACCTCCAAAATGAATGGCAGACACATCTCCCTGCCTTCTTCTTCATTGCCTCCAAAGTGATGTTCTGCAAACACCGATCTCTCTATGTCACGCAGCCAGCACTGCAAACAGGACCAATTCTTGGCTCCAGCCAGGCTCTCTGGGGCTGGTTGAAGGCAGCGGCCACTGCTGGGCCGGCTAGAATGCAGAAGGTAGGGAGGCAAGAAGCATAACGAGGGGGAACTGGTCTCACCAAAAAATAAATATGTTTCTACATGTAAATATTATCTTTATTAAAGGTCTGTAAATGCAAATATAATGTAAATGGATTCTGAATTCCAGCAGCACATCGCAGGGGCTAGCTGGAGTCCTAATTACAGGACCCAGGATGGGACGTATCTTTCCAACGTTCATGGACCTCATGTAGAAGCAGGAGCTATAGGGTTAGCATTAGGATTTGCAGCAAGTGCTATCTCTCTTACCAGGTTAGCAGGGCTCTCAAAGAGCAGCTGAAGAGGCAGGAGAGTGGAGGGCTTCAGAGGGTGGCTCTAAACTCATACGTCTTAGGTTCAAACCCAGCGTCTGGCTTCACAGCAGTAAGAACTCAAGCGAGTCACATAATCTCTCTGACTCCCAATGTCCTCTCCTTGGTATAATAACAGTATGTACTTCATAGGTTTGTGGGGAGATTTCAATGAGATAATTCACATAATGCATTTAGCCCACTGCCCCATGCCTCCATAAATGTTCTTTATTGTTTTTAGAATTAGGAGACTGGGCGCCTGGGTGGCTCAGTTGGTTAAGCGACTGCCTTCGGCTCAGGTCATGATCCTGGAGTCCCGGGATCGAGTCCTACATCAGGCTCCCTGCTCAGCAGGGAATCTGCTTCTCCCTCTGACCCTTCTCTCTCTCATGCTCTCTGTCTCTCATTCTCTCTCACAAATAAATAAAATCTTTAAAAAAAAAATTTAAAAAAAAAAGAATTAGGAGACTAAGATCAATGAGGAGGAAAATCTCACCCAAGGTCATGTGGTAAGCTGGCAGCAAAGCTAAGAGCCACAGCTCTGGTCCCCAGGTTCCCCATTCTGACTCCTTCCCCCCAGCAGCCTCCTTTCCCTTGCTGCAGTCTGCAGCAGAAACATTACATCAGGAGCCAGAAGATAATAAACCTAATTGGGCCATTAGGACCAGTCACTTCCCTCTACATCGAGCCTTTGGGGATGTTATGGGTGATCAATATAATAAATAATGTTGCATAGTCTGGGGCACCTCTCAAGGGAGCATCCTGGAAACCAAGAAGAGAAGGAGATTGAAATCATAGCAAGAGATTCAGAAAGAAAGCAAAATCTCCCTTGTGTCCTCCCTTGCTTACCTTGCCTTGCTCTGTGCCAGACACAGTGGGGGAAGGAGGGATGGAATGCCAAAGGTGGGCAGGTGACCCAAATGCTTCGAATTTTGTAGTCTGGGTTTTTGTCATTCAAGGTGTATCTCCCAGTCATGCCACCAATGCACAGATGCGGTTCACAGATAATAACGGTAAGGCTTGGGTGATCTCAGCCACAAGCAAAGGCTTCCTTCTTTCTAAGCAGAACCTTAAATGCCTGAGGAAATCTCATGGTGCCCGGCCGCACCTTCAGTGGCAGCCCTCCATCTCAAGAGCATTCACTGGCTCGCTGACATTCAGAATCATGCAGACACCTCTGTCCTGTATAAATGTTTCCCTGGCTCCCTAGAATAACTTTGGATTCAAAGGGCATCATTTGGACTTACAGAACCAGTTTGGAGGGAGAAGAATGTCCTCTGGGAATCCCTAGCAAATCATTAGGAGCTAACCAATGTCCCAGAAAACCAGAGATTTCCACACGTTGCCCTGGATTTCACTGCAAGTCGTGGCCCTGACCTAAGGGCACGTAATGAAGGTTCCAAGAAGCTGGGGTCACAGATCTACAAGTAACCCCAGTGGACATGCAGTCCAGATATTATTGGAAATAAAATGGTTGAACTGGAACCCTTTGAGTGTTTCATGCTAATGAAGATATCCAGTGGTGTGCACAAGAATTGATACCACGACCATGTCTGCTGGATGAGGAATATATTGTAAGCTTGGACTTCAGTCAGAATGGAGTCATTCATCCAGGGACCACAGAGCCTGCAGGTGTGAGGCATTGCAATATCGAGCCAATGGGCAGTGAAGCCACCATCTGGTACCAAATAGGGCAGGTCATAGCCATGTGCAGAGGGGACTCAAGGAATGCACAGCCCCTCGGCAATATAACAGCAAAGATTTCATTCATAAAGGACCTCTGAGCAAGTGCAGAAGCAGGAACAGAGAATTTTCTCCAGGTCAGAACTCTAAAATCCAGAGCTGATGGGATGCGAACAGCACAAAACACCCAGGAGGAATGAAGAATTTTTTTTTTATTTTATTTTTATTCTTATGTTAAACCCCATACAGGAATGAAGAATTTTTTTTTTATTTTATTTTTATTCTTATGTTAATCCCCATACAGGAATGAAGAATTTTAACTGGATCAGAGCAGAGGTTATTACCTAAGAAAGCAAGAATTAGAAAAATTAGTAACCAAACCCAATATGTCATCACTTGTTGTATCAGTCATGCTTGTATTTCCTGTCTGGTAACCATTTTTCTGGATCTTTTAATTACCCTCATCTCGAGTCCTCTCTGTTAATACCTTCATTGAAAGAACTCCTCCACATACTGCTGTTGACAAACAGGTGGCTTGGGTGAGCCCTGACATCACTTTGGGACACTGTTCCCAGACCGGGCAAAGCCAGGGACGGGGCTTCCTTAGAGAAAGCCACTTAAGCGTGGTGGCTCTCTGTCTGAGAGCTCTCCACCACCCACTCACCAGAGCCTGCTCACACATCCATGAGGGATGATACCCACAGACTGAAGTCCTCTCCCACATCTTATCTTGGCTCCCTGCCCCTCCACAGAGCACCTACTACCCATGCCCACGTGTCTGTGAAATCTCCAGGCCATACTTTATAGAGTAAACATGATGGCCTCCCGGTGAAGGGATGAACCCAGGGAGCCAGGAAAAAAGGCAGATCTTTGAAGTGCTGAGGTTCCTTTATTTCCCAGAATATAAAAAGACTCATTCCTCTGAAATATCATCTCCCAAAAGCATCAGGCAGAGAAGGTCTAGGGCATTTGGTTCCTGTGTCTGAGACAGTCTATGACTGTGTGGGTTTTTATTTGAGGTTTGGTTCGTGCTGTTCTTCCATGACTGTGGGACCTGTCTGTGCACCCTGTCCACGCCCCATTCTGTGCCCTGGTCCTGCCCAGAAGCCTTTCTACTTCACATCTCTGGGTCTGAGCCAAAACTGTCCAAGACTGACCGAATCTGTGATCCTTCCCATGGCTTTCCAGGTCCAGAGATATGCCTGGGCCTAATTATTGCCTATTCCTAAAATTATGATTGTTTAATTATACCTGTGGTCATTTCTGATTGTTAACTGTCTTGGTCAATGTCTCCTGCCATTGTGATTATACCTGTCTATGGGGGTGATATTCAGAATATTTAACTACTGGTCCAGAAGCAGCCGATGAGAACAGATGCCCACCGTGAACAACCAAGGCATTCCAGCTGGGTCGTCCATAGTTCATCGAGCAATCTCAGTTCGGTGACATAAAACCCTGAAAGTGCTGTATTTTTTTCCACTGCTGCCTTCAACCATGCTCTTTCAGAATCCTTCCCTGTCATTTAATGACATCTCGAGTGGATCCTGCGGGTCTCTGGTCACTCTGTTATTGGAAGTCTCGTCCAGCCCACAGGATATACCTGATTTCAACCCAGAGCAGGCAGGCTGCCTGGATGGGGAGAGAGGGCACTGGCCTGTTTCCCTCCTCCTCTCTGCTCTCTTCTGGAAACAGAAGCCAGGGTGGGGGATGAGAGAGATGTCAGGTGTCCTCTGCCATGACTGGTCACCTGTAGCAGTGGGGAGGTGTCCCTGATCTTACCCCGGCTCCATCTGGCTTCATTGGCTATTGGTTGTGGCTTTAACGTGTGTTGGGTGGATGGTGCCTGTGGCTTTCTTGGAGCCTGCTTCCTCCACTGAGGACAGCTCCCTTGGGCCCCATCAGCAGTCCACAGCCCAACTTCTCCTCAGGGGGCATCACTGAGCCACAGCAGCAGGCATGTGGGCAGCCCTGGGGCCTCTGGGTTCTAATCCCCGTGCTCCTGCCCAGAGAGTCACAGGAACCTCCTTTCCTGTCCTCAGACGGCCCCAAGCAACAACCCCCTGTTCTCATCCTCTTCCACCAAGATGCTCCCCTAGCCCCCTCCTTTTAACCCCTGACTTCAGAAATCTCAAGGAGATAGGCAGGCACCAACCCCTTTGGCCAGGTAGACCCTGAAACTCCAAGAGTCATGGGTCAAACTCTCCCTAGATCTCTTACTCCCACTGCAGTCCTGACCACGGGGGACCAACACAGCAGCACCAGCCAGCCACCCTCTGGAGACCTCTCTCCTCTCTCAGGGCTCTGGGAGAAGGAGTGGGCAGTAGAAACGAAGCCAGCTCTCCACAAACCCTGCACTGCTGTCAACGTGAACAAGTCCCTTCTCTCCCTAACTGGCTCTTTTTATGGAAAAAGGAAGCTGGAGACGGGGTTAGGGGAGGGTGCTGACTGTCAGGATCACGGTTTGTTGGAGAGATACCTGGCCCCTGTGGTTACCAAACTCCATCTTTAGAATGTGGGGTGCTCAGCACCCCATTCCTCAGCTTTGGGCTGATGTGACAGTTCAGAGGTAACTGAGAAAACCCTGTTCCCCATCCAGTTCCCCACCATTGTCTTTGTCTGCTCCTCGGCCTGTACCAGTTCTCATAGTTGTGTCTCTGGCCTGTTGCTGTTCCAAGCTCTCTGTGATCAGGCATCTGGGATTTCTTCTCCGTCCCCATGCCACGGGTTTATGATGATGTCTGTCTGTCTGATGAGGGACTCTCTTTGTGCCTACAACCATGGCTCAGGGCCCACCTTGGGATATCTGCGACCATGTCTCTGGGACAGTGTTTCTATGCCCAAGCCTGCACCTAGTCCGACTGGGAGGCTAAGATGACTCTATACCAGTGGCCCTGCTCAGTTCAGGCCTTTTGGCGGGGACAGTTCACGTGAACAGGAAGGACAGAGATGGACTATCACACAGAGTATCAGTGACCAGGCCAGGATGGGGGTAAAAGGCAGCCCTCTGGCCCCCCAGCACAGGAGGTGCTGCTTCTCTCCCACTTACCTCTCTTGTCTCTAACTGCATGGACCAAAGGGAAAGCTTTGGAAAAATCATCTCAACAAGTAGATTTCCTCTCCTCTGTCCATGTTCTTCTTCTTTTTTTTTTAAGAACAGGTAGTATGGCCCTTCCCTTCCTTTAGTTTACAAAGATTTTATTCCTAAATGAATTATGAATAATTAAAACTCCACTCCATTTGTTCTCTATTGTTGTTAATTGAAAAAATTAAAGATGCATGGGCTGCAGCCCCTGGGGTGGCCCTGGGAGAAGCTGATGGGCAGCGCAGGGGGGAGATGTGCCAGCACCTCGGCGGCCTGCAGCCAATGCATCCTCTGCGCGGGCACCTGGTCGACCACTGGAAACACTCCCCTGGCCTGTCCTCACCACTTCCAGCAGAACGTGCAGAAGGTATAATGTTATCTCTTTCCTTAATGCACATTTCCCTCTGCCTGTGTAAAGCCAGGGTGCATTTATCATTCAAAAAATGGGGAAAGCTGCACTCATTTCTCTTGACTGGCTCTCAGGTTGATCCAGGCCCCGGGTGCCATGGTGACCTGCTGGTTGTGGGATGTGACATCTTCCAAAGACACCAGGTAAAAACTGAAGTCTGATCAGGCAGGTTGGTGCCTGCTTGTCTCCTGGAGATTTCTGAAGACTAATCACACTGCCCAGCCCTTGCTACGCAGAGCAGATAGGTACAGACCTGGAGCTGAACAAACCAAGGTCAACGTCTTTCACCTGCAACCTGGGCCCGGCATGGGCTCACCCAACTTGGTGGGACTTTGCCCTTATCCTCGTGACCCTCCCCTGTTACTCTGAAGTCCTCTCTACCACAGTTTGCTTGGGCTCATCAGGCCACCCCCACTGCCTGCTTAGCACATGCTTGGTACTCACAAGTGCTTGTTGAATGAACGAGTCATGTCTATAGTGCTGGGCTAACACTCCTAAGTCTGAAGCAGAGTCAACATTATGTTAGCCATTACACACTAACTAGGGTAACAACCCTGAATTCCAGTGGTTGAACACAATAAGCATTTGATTCTAATTACCTCTTATGCACAGTCTGATGCTCTCCCGAGTGGCTCTCCTGAAACACCAAAACTCAGAGCCCCAGGGCCCTTCCCCTTGCAGCCTACCCTACTGTCTGAGAGCTCCTTGTAATATTCTGCATTCGGTGGTGGATAAAGAGTGGAAAACGCCCTGCCATGCATTATAATCGTTCCTGCCCTCTCCTCCCTCATTGAGACTCCAGAGGCTCTGTCCTCCAGGTCTTCCCCACCTGGTGCAAACAGCATGAGCTCTTGCAATGTCTAGTCTCCTTATCCTTAAGAATGACCTCCCATTGCCTCAGGCCCTCTCCAAGGAGGGCTTCCCCAGCACACTCTATCGTTATAAGCTTCCCTTGACACAAGATAAACTACGGGGCTGAAGCAATGCAGCTGGGGGCAGAAACTGGCTGGGGTCCAGGTTGCCCTTCTGGCTGGGGTTCTCACCCCATTAGCAGGTGCACTTTATTTGGTGGGCAAAAGGGCCTTCCCCAGCCTCCCCCCACAAAGGCTAGGCTAAGATGTCACTGCCCAGGGGAACAAGCCCTCCCCAGGCAGGCAGATAACAGGTGAGGCCAGTGACCACGGCTGGTTCCCCGGGACCACTGCCCAATTTGAGCTCTGTTTCCCTTTCCTTTTAGGCAGTCCTGTGAGAGGGATGGAGACTTTGCATCCAGGAACCCAGGGCGAGCCACATTCTAATGAGTGGCTTCCCTCCTTGGGTTGTGAGCAGCGTTTGCTCGAAGGTGTGCCTTGCTGAGAGTTCTGCTTTCTGCATTTCGCTTCCCACTTTTAATGTTCCTCTGATCCAATTTCCTTTGCAATAAATAAAAAAATAAAACAAAATGTTTTCCTTGAATACAAACCTACTCACTGCAAGAGGCCTGGGTGGCACATAAACTAGGAAAGATCCGTTCTCTTCATTAAAGCAGTCAGTCCTTAAGCCCCACACTTTCTTCCTCCCCACCGTCTGCCCTGATCTCATGGAAGTGAAACCACAGCCTCCACTCCCTCGGAAGCTCACTCCCAGAGGCTCAGATTCTAATAAACCTCAGGCCAAAGGATCCCACAGGCATCACAAGTGTTAGAGCCAGTCCAGAGCCCGGAGAAAAACGGGCAGCAGCAGAACTAGGCGGCAGGACCAGCGGCGGAGGCAGCTTCCCCCCGGGGTTTGGATTTCTGTGTGTCTCAACAGCCCAGGAAGGTACCTTTGAGATGCTCCACAGTGATCATGGTGCCATAGAAGGGGAGCTGGAG